AGGGCAACGTTTGTTGTATTTTACTTTTTTTTAAAGAAATCAGGGGCGCCTGGGTGGCGCAGTCGGTTAAGCGTCCGACTTCAGCCAGGTCACGATCTCGCGGTCCGTGAGTTCGAGCCCCGCGTCGGGCTCTGGGCTGATGGCTCAGAGCCTGGAGCCTGTTTCCGATTCTGTGTCTCCCTCTCTCTCTGCCCCTCCCCTGCTCATGCTCTGTCTCTCTCTGTCCCAAAAATAAATAAAAAACGTTGAAAAAAAAAATTTAAAAAAAAAAGAAATCAATAATGTACTATACCAAAAATCATTGAATTACACACTTCAAGTGGGTAGATCGTACGGTATGTGAATTGCAACTCAATAAAGCTGTTAAACCGCCCACATGGCTTCCCATCCTTTTTGGAGCACGGTGCAAACCCCCAACTTCTCTCCCTCTCTGAGCTCATCGCCCCCGTCCCCACCTGGGATCCCTCCATTCTGGCCTCCCTGGCCGGCCTTCCCTCCCCGCAAGAGGCCGGGTCCCCGCCTCAGGCCTCTTGCGTGCCTTCTTCCTTCTGCCCGGGATGTTAGCAGCTCTCGGCTCTGCTGCGCCTTAGGATCACTGAGCAGCCTTCCGTGACAGACGCCCAAGCCCCACCTCCGGGAGTGGGAGGTCATTATTCCGGGATAGCAGGTAGGGTCTCACCAGTCACCGGTTTATTTCACATCTTGCTGGGTGCTTCTAATGATCTGCCAGCATTAACGACCGCTGCCCTCGTCGTCACGGCTCGGTACCCCTCCTTCAGGTTTCTGCTCGCCGTCCAGCTCCCTGGGGGGGCCGTGCCCAATCACACCCTGCCTCCCTTACTCACCTGATGCAACACCGTCCGGCCTAGGACTGCATCATATGCGTATTTGCTTCCCGTGGAGAGTGTCAGAGGGAGGAGGAGAGAGGCCGTTCAGTGCTGTGTCCTCAGTGCTTAGTTCATGCCGTGTCCGGGGAAGCAGCTGTCACCCGAATGAACTTTGGCCCAGCTTCTCTCTGTCCCCGGTGGTCCTGCTCGGGCTCTGTGGGGCTGCAGTTCTAGGCGGCGGCCACCAGGTGGCGAGAGAGCCCAATCGCGTTCCAGGCCGCGGCAGCAGGCCCTGCCCCCACGCCAGGCCACTGGTCAAAGCAGCGAGGGCCAGGGCCATGGCCGTGGCGGACCCCACTGTGTCTTCCTTCTTCTCCTTTGTAGATTCAAAGTCATCGGGCATCGGCAGACACTCGACCGGGACTAAAGCCAGAGAGGAAGGCCCTGCAGCCCTGTCCTCCCAAGTCCTCCTCCTCTCGCCTAGCCACTCACAGACGCTCTGGTGCAGCCTCGGGGACCCCGGGGCCACTGTTTGGGGACCCAGGACCCGTGCACTGGAGGCTGTGACATGCACGGTCTTCTTACATCCCAGGGTCACGTGTCCACAGGGGAACAAAGGGGCCCCAGACCTGAGCCTTAGGGAACAAAGCCCGAGGCCTCAGGTTAAGTAAAAAAGAAAAACAACACAGCAGGTCAGGGGTCAGGTGCTGCCCGTTTCTGTTCCAAAAGGAAGGAAACCTGCCTCCCGGCGAGGGTCTGTAAATACAGACTGAGGGATGCGGAGGAGGGGTCCCTGGGAGAGCCAGCGAGTCTGGGAGCACACCCGTGGTTTTTCAAATTTGAGGCATGGACCTAGCCCCATAAATAGCAAATTCAAAATTTTTTTAAAGGCACCGGTTTCTCTACCGCTTTGTAAGCCATGTTATCCTCTGGTGTCTATCCTCTCTGGGAGGCTGCAGCGGTGACCGCTGGGGGCAGGGTCCGGGGGCCGAGGTGTCCCTGCTCAAAGGTCACCCCAGCTCTAGGAGCTCTGTGTCCTTCCAAGCTCTCGGGACACAGCAGTGACCGGATCAGCCTTCCCCTCACAGAGCTCACGTTTGAGTGGGAAGTCATAAATATGTATGAACTTTGCTCAAGGACATGAAAACCAGGAAGAGACAGAGGATAATCGGGGGAGGGGAGTGGCTGCTTCAAGAGGTGACGTCTGAAAGCTGATGCCAGCGACAGAGGGTGTGCCAGGCCAAGGGCACAGCAAGTGCAAGGGCCCCGGGGGCCGAGGCTGGAGCCGGCTTGCTGGAGCTAAAAAAACGGGGCGACAGTGCGGTCCTGCTCACAGCCTCCGCCTCTTCCCCTAAAGGGGGCTGTGTCCCCCGCCCGTCTGTGGACTTCAAATGATAAGGGAGGGTGCCCATCCGTGCCCAATGAAAGGAAGCCGAACAAATTTTTTAACTCAAAAAAAGACAATGCCCATTTACTAGAAAGAGCACTTTAATAGGAGTCCAATTAGAGTCTTTCACCAGCTCCATGGCCTTGAGCTACTTTTTTTTTAATACTTATTTTGAAAGAGAAACAGAGAGAGATACTAAGGGCAAGGAAGGGAGGGGCAGAGAAAGAGAGAGAATCCCAAGCAGGCTCTGCACTGTCAACGCAGCGCCTGATACGGAGCTCGAACTCACCAACTGACTTGAGCGGAAATCAAGAGTCAGGCACCTAACCAACTGAGCCACCCAGGAGCCCCTGAGCTAATTACTTCTTTGGGCCTATTTCTAGACAAACCCATGGCGGGTGACATTAGGATGGTGAACAGCCCCTTCTGGCTTGGCTTACACCACACGAACGCGGTGGGCCACAGACCCCAGGACGTCCGGTGCCCTCTAAACCGAAGGAGCAGCCACGCCCCCACCTTGCGGCTCGTCAGCCACGCGAAGCTCACAGCGTCTTCGTACCCACTGGTCCCCGTCTGGGACGCTCACCCAACTCATCTTCCCACAGCCAAGCTCTTCGTTCTGACCTGGGGTCAAAGGTCACCTCCAAAGACAAGCCCCAGAACAGTAACAGTGAGAGCAGCCACCTGTCAGCCCTCGGTCCTTTGAACATATCCCCATCGTGTTCCTTCCACAGCAGTGGTCAGCGCACGGCCTGCGGCTTGACTCCAGTCCATTCCCTGCTTTGGTATGGCCTGAGAGCTGAGAATGGGGTTTACATTTTTAAATGGTTGAACAAGAAACACCTTGTGACCCAGGACCGTTAAATGACCGGGGTGTCCCTGAGCAGAGCGGGGGGTCACACGCTCCCCAAGGAGCTCGCCTAAGCTCAGGCCCGCCATCCAAGCCACAGAAAGACCGTCGCCTCCCCTCTCGCTATCTTGCTAAGACTGGTCAGGATTTCCCCCTCGTTTCTCGGTCTCTGTCAGTAAATTCCAAGGAGCCGGGGCTTCCCGGGAAAAACGCCCACCGGGGGCCCTTAACTTTCAGTGTGCCCGCCGCCCGTGGGGATCCTTCCTGTGCTCTCACGGCCCCGACTCCTGTGCTGGGGCGTGCGAATCGGACACGGCCATCCCGACCGAATGGAAAACTGCGAAGTTGAGGACGACCGAGCCATTTTTCCAAAACAGTTTAATTAAAAAAAGGTGAAGAATCTGAAAAAACCGGGGGGAGGGGTGGAACCCAAAAAAGCACACCGTGGGAGTGCACTGGCTCAGTCACAAAGAAACGCCGTCATCGAAAAAGATATTTAAGTTTAATACAAATTTTATACAAAGAAAATGTGAAAAAATACTTCCATATGCTAAAAGCAATTAGGCTTCGCAAATAAGGCCAGCTAGGCTATTTTTTTTTTTTTTTGACACCTGCAATTCACAAATGTTCTTTCTCTCTTCTTCTTCTATACTCTCTTTTTAGTTCTTCTCTAATATGTATGGGGAACTAGCTGGAAACTGTACAATTCACATCCTCTTATCAACAATGAAGAGAAAGTAAACAGGACTAAAATATACAACAGAATGTACTGGAATGATACCGTACAGTTAATTTTCTCATATACATACATCACCTTTTTGCTTTGTTCAATGCGTTTTGTTCGACACAACATACAAAATGGTACTACCGTATACATAGTGTGACAGGGAGCGTGGCCGGTGTCTGGCATTCTCTCCCACTGCCTTTGTTTCATGCTTCCATAAAAACGTAAAATCCCATCGTATAAATAATACATACATGCTTCATCCCGGACTCCCCTGTCCTCTGCGTGCATCCTGCCTTTCAGTTTCTCACTTCCGAGAGGCACAGCATCTCTTACCAAGTATGTGTGAGTGTGTGTAAAAGGAACCACAAAGCAAAGAAAAGACTCCTCTTTGTTCCAGAGCTTAGGACGCCTAACACTTTCTCTGCTGTCTTCGGCCGAGCTGAGCGGGGCTTGCTTCTTCTGTGTATCTTCTGTAAACAAGGACCTGATTTCTTCCCTTTTCGAGTAGTCATTGCCGAAATCACACAAAATAAACTAGCTTCTCCCTGTCCTTCGGGGCCAGAGAGCTTGCATTTTATAACACAGTAACGTAGTACTGGAAAGGGGCCAATGGCTTGACGTGATGTGCCCACGACGGCACAGATTCTGTGCCGAAAACTCCTGATTCCAATGTGCTGCATACAGACGTATGAATGAAAACGGCTCACTTTCCCCTGGGGCGTCCAAGGACGAGGGCCCGTGTGCCACGGCGATCCTGGGGCCTAGTCACCATGCCACAGGGACAGCCGGGCTGACCAACCATCCCTCCTCCTCCAACGTCAAAACATTCCTTTTGTGGTTGGGTGTTTCTTGTTTTTTTAATCGTTTTTCTTTTTCTTTCTTCTTTTTTTTTTTTTTTATAAGTTAAAGTCAATACAAATATAAAAAGGGGAAGGTCCTCTAGGTTCAATGACATCCACAAATTGTACATTATTTACATCTAAAGCATAGATTTCGTGTGGGTCAAACAGTCCTCAGTCACTGCTAATGCCGGACGCACTGTAGTGTGGGCTGCCCTCCGTGCCGAGGGCCAAGGCCAAGTCGGGGTGTCTGGAATTCTCAAGTCTGAAGGAGGCTCTCCTGTCTCAGGTTTCCTTGCCGCTTCCTGTTGCCCTGGTGTCTGGTTTCTTCTTCCTCCACGGGGTGGGTGGCTTGTGTCGCGACTTGTCCCTAGTCCCAGAAGGTGTCCAGCCGAGACTCTTTCGGGAGGAGGCTCTTCGAACTGGCACTGGCGTTGTGCTCGGAGCGTGTGGATCCTCGCTTCTCGTCGCTGCTGCCCCAGCAACTAGACTTACTGCCCCGGGAATGGTCTGTGGAGGAGAAGCAACAAGAAGCGACGTTGAGCCTTCCCGCCACCTCCACCGCAGCAGAGCCACCCGGCCCCCGGCCCCCTGCCCCGCGGCTCCCCTCCGGGCGGCCTCCCGCCGCCTCCCAGCGCGCGTGGGTCTCTAGAGCACAACTCTACGGCCGGCTAGACAAACACAAGGGCATCACGTCACAGAGAATCGAGATGGGTGATGAGGGCACCGAAGTGCCCAGGGAGGCACCTCTCACGCGGTACCTGGAACCGCAGACCCGCGGCCATGACAGAAGGACACCAAGCACTCAGGTGCTTCTGTGTCCACGCCAGATGCTGGAAAAAGGCACCAAAATGTGGCGGTATTTTTCCTTCCTCATATTAGAATTTCTTCAGTCTATTTACAGACAACTCGAAAAGCAGACCTATAACCAAACCACCTAAGGGAGAGGATCACAGAGGAGGAGGAAGAGGAGGAAGAGGAGGACGAGGAGGAGGAGGGAGAGGCCAGAATGGTTATGTCCGGCTGGACACACACACACCCACAGACTCCCATCAGGGACAGGCTGCAGGGTCCCTGGAGGATACAGAACCAGATTTAAGACCCAGGACAGCTTCGAGGACGCGTGACCACAAAAAGCTCAACAGTGGCTGAGAAGATCCGAGGCAGGTGAAGGAAGAGGCAGAGGAGGGAGTCCGTAAGCTGCCACACAGCTCAGCTCAGGCCAGCATGGGTGACGGCAAGGGACCCGTCAGCATGCCAAGGCCCCATCAAGCCTGGGATCATCTGCCAAGTTCAGAGAGGCTGGGATGAAATTTTGTTTTTAAATTTCTGGAGGTGGGATGGTAATATTCAAAGAAGCCAATGGTCGAGCTCGGGGACAGAATGAGAGTGAGAAAGGGACCAGATCAGAGCCGGGGCATGCCATTTCTTACCGCCTGGTACCAAGGAACGTGCACACTTAGTCACGTGTTCCTGTTTTGGAAGATAAGTGGCAAAGAGAGAGAGAAAAGTCTCCAAGGTGATGTGTTCATTCGGGAGACTTCTCTTTGGCCATTTGCATCAGTGACCAAAAGGGGGCAGTATTCTGGCAGGCAGTCCTGAATCCACCTCCTCTTCCTGGTTCTTCCCTACCCGTGAAGCCTACACGGATGGTTCTTCTCGAAGGTCTCTGGGAAGCGGTGCGCTCGGTCATCGTCCAACAGGACAAAAATCCCACAACGGTGCAGTCAGGTGAAGGCAGACACCGGGCCTGAGCTCAGCACGGCACCTGCACCACGGACCGGGCCAGCCACCGTCCACGGGACCTGGGCCCTCACGCAGACGGGACACGGGGCACTGGCTGGTTCGGCCAATCACCGCAGGGAAGAATCGGGACCTCTATGGACAAGGCCAAGGCCGATCCCTTCCACGAAGCACACCGTACACTCTGGCTCCCGTCTCCTACCGCGGTGTCCAGCGGCCACGAGAGGCCCAGCTTAGAAGCGCGGAGGGCAGAGCGAGACGAGCCGCTCACAACGACAGCAGAAAACAAGACGACGACGCACGCACGCACAACACGGGGCTTCCGCGGGTCCCGGCCGCGTGGGTGAGGCGGGGCCGTACTTCCCCTTCTGGGCTGGGTAGCCGGGGCATGGCCGGGGCGCAGGCGGGTTGCTTGCCACACAGCTGCCGCGGGCTGAAGAGACGCGGTGTCCGTCAGGGAGCTCAGGTCGCCACAAGCCAGGCACCCGCTACGCACTCGGCACCGTTAGCCCTATTCTCTCCGCGCCACTCTCCCACCCGACGCCCTCACAGCGACGACGGCTTCTTGTCCTAATGGGCATTTTTAAACCACGAACGGAGGGGTCACTGGACGCAGCGCTGCATTACAGGCGGGAAGCGAGGTACCCGATGGCGCAAAATCAACTCTGTAGGCCAGATCCTTCAGCATGTTGGAAACGCAGTTCTCAGAACCACCAGCTCTGCCAACAGCCTAATCCGACCAGCAAAACCAGAGGTGCGAGAACCACACTAAGGCAGGAAACAGCACCCAAGGAATCCGGATTCTTTTGGGGGAATGAAAACTCCTCTACCGCCAAGCCTGACGGAGGACAAGGCCGGGAGGGGAGGGCAAGGAAGGTGCCGCGGTGAGGACTGAGGAAGGGGCTACAGATGACGTATCGAGTGACCAAGATCCTCAGCCACGATGATGGGACCGCAACAAATAACGTCTGGAAACGAAGAGCCAGATGTCAGTGATATGAAAGGAGTTTCAATAAAATAAGGGGTACGGTGAAGAGCTGGGTGGGGAAATCACGAAAGGTATGACAAGAGAAGGAAACAGAAACTCCAGGAGAGAGCACAGCCGTGCCAGAACGGAACCGTCATCACGGCATTCGGTGGGCTGGGCAACACACAGCATGCTCAGGATGGCGGGCACCCAGGCTGAAGTTCTCCGGCTCGGCCCACGGCCGAGCGTGGGGCGGTTAAGGGTCAGAATGCGCCTGTTCTCAACCTCGGGGAAGGGAAGTCACAGCGAAGCAGAGGGCGGTCTCGACACGGTCAGGGTGGGGGTGCGAGGTGGGGGGAGGGGGGGGACCGTCGAGAGAGGGGTCCACAGTCGCTGTCGCCAGCGCTCAAATCCAGAACTAAAGCATGAGTGCTGTCCTTGACCCATGGAACCTCCAGAGCACAGAAATGGTGACATCCATCATTTGGGAGGAAGGGGAGAAGAGCGGTCATCAGTGACCCCAACCCTCACCTTCATAAACCAGAAGTCAGCAAGCAAGGTCTAAAACTAACGCTCAGAAATAGGACAACAGGGAAATACGTTATTTGTAAGGAAGGAGGGAAGTACCAGAGACATCACTGGGGACAGGGCCTAGGAACTGTCTCTGTACTATAACGATACGCATGTTTTACTTCGAAATCTTAAAACTATTATTTACTTGGGGGGGGGGGGTGCCCACAGAAAGAGAGAGAGGGAGAGAGAGACAATCCCAAGCAGACTCCACATTATCAGCACAGAGCCCGATGTGAGGCTTGAACTCAGAAACCGTGAGATCGTGACCTGAGCAGGAATGGAGTCAGATGCTTACCCGACTGAGCCACCCAGGCGCCCCTAAAATCTTAAAAGACAAGCAAATAGCAAGGAGGCACGTACCCCCACGGAACCTTTCTCCCGCCCCCAGACTCCTCACCACACCCTCCCGGCACCAGTAGGCACGGAGAACCCCGGTGTGTCCAAAGCCCTCCTTCCTCCACAAGGTTTCATCTGCATGGTCACCAACATCAAGAGCTGGCGAAGTTAGACGTACGAGGAGTTCGAAGAGGACAGCGAACGAGTCAGCGTTTCTGCTCTGACACAACTACCGGCTTGGGTGAGAAACAGAGGAAGGGGGAAGACAGAGGACACCGTCCTGACTGGGCCCCGGGCACCTCGGTCTCCCTCCTGCTCACACTCTGGGCTGTCGCGGCAACACTTCCTGGAAAACACTCCCTCTCCTCCAGTTTCTGACAGGGAGCACCATGGTGCTCCCCCTCGGCTAATATGCCTTCCGTCCCGCCTCGTCCCGAGTCCGAAACGCGGACGCCTCCTGAGTGCGGTCCCGGATGCACCTCTTCCTTTCGCCAAGACCCGTAGAGAAGGTCCCTCCTGCTGAGGACACCCTGGGATTCTAACCTTATCTCTTTGCGAGACAAGGTCTCAAAACACCATTTCGAATTTAAAAGGTCCACAGTTATTCAGGGCTTAGGGCTCGGTGGTGACCGGACCGAACGAGTCTTACGGACACGTCTGCCTGGGCTGGGGAAGGAGGCAGGGCAGCCTGGAGGCCGTGCCGTTGGTTCAGTATGGTGGCCACTAGCTCCGCGATGCTATTTAAATAAAGTAATATAAAACGTTAAATTCTATTCCTCAGTTACGTCAGCCACAGTTCAAGGGTCCGACAGCCATGTGTGCAGGCGGCTACCACAGGGAACAGGGCGGATACAGAACCACGCCATCACTGCAGAATGTTCTAGGGGAGAGCACCGCTCTAGGGGCAGATGCAGGGTGTCAAGGAAAGAAGCTGGAGGCACAGGAGGATATTTAAATGCCTAGGGAAGGAAGCAGCTGAACACGACATCTGGCTATGACAGACGCTGGATACGGAAAGGCCAGCGAGGCTGGAGGAAGGCGTGAAGGAGGCCTGGGTGCTGGAAGGGGAGGCAGGGCCTGGCTGTGCTCCCCGGAAGGAACAGGCAATGCCATGTGCTGTCAGTGATGTTGGAGGGACGGGCTGGGAGGTTTGAAACCGAGAACTGCGGAAGCTGCCCTTGTGGAGAGTGCAAACAGAGGCTGAAATGCAACAAATTTGGTAAGATGACCAGGCAGATGGAAATGTGTGCTTCTGAGGTCAGCGGTCAAGATCAGCGTGTGTGGTGGAATGAGTGTGTCCCGAGTGATCTTCTCTGGCTGAGCTCCAATGCTGGCTGCAGAGGAGTTAAGAGATAGATGGCTGGGGTCTGAGCAAGGCAACGTTTTGCCAAATGGACATGTGGAGAAAACCAGAAGGTGTGGGAGACTGGGTTCCATTAGCAAGGGTGCTGCTGGGATGAGCCGTGGAAACCAAGCTGGGGAAGCAGGGAGGTGAGGAAAGGAAACAGTTAGTAGATCTGGAAGCAGGGGCAGCGGGGAGAAGCCACATCTACAGCCCTGACTTTCCCCAGACATCGGTGCCTTATTAGCTGAGCCACACAAAACAGCCAACCGTTTTTGACTCACGATTTCCTAGGGGTCAACTTAAGTATTCCCAACGCAGCGGGTGAGAGCACGTGTGGGGTCAGAGAATTCTAGACTGAAGTCCAGGCCCCAGCAGTTAAGTCACTGAGTTACTTGTGCATGTATGTTAACTTCTCTGGGCCTCAACGTCCTCGTCTGCATAATGGGAACAGTAACTTCTCTCACCGAAGTTGGGAATAAACACAATGAAGTGTCCAACTGCTTCATGCTCTTCTCCTAAGCACCCATTAAATGCTCTTCTGACTTCCCTTAAAGCTCCAGAAGACAGGGGTGCCTGGGTGGCTCAGTCGGTTGAGCGTCCGACTTCGGCTCAGGTCATGATTTCTTGCGTGGGTCTCCTGAGTTCTGCCCTCCCAGTCGGTTCCCTGTGCTGACCGCTCAGAGCCTGGAGCCTTTCGATGCCAGATCTCTCTCTTTCTGACCTCCCCGTCTGCTCATGCTCTGTCTCTCTCTGTCTCAAAAATAAATAAACGTTAAAAAAAATTTAAAAAAAAAAAAAAAGCTCCAGAAGACAGGAGTTGTCTGCCTTGTTCACCCCTAAATCCTCAGCCCTAGCACAGGACGTGGTCCCGGAGACACTCAACAAACTCTCACACGCCTCCAACCCTCTGCGAAAAGCCTAGCGCCATGCATCCTCTCCAAGAACCTAAAACAGAATTCAGGATCTTGCCCTCCCTCCCTTCCCCGATCCCGCCCCCTCCCTGTCCCCGCCCCCCATCCTGTCACCGAGGGACTCCTCCAAGATTATTTTCTCTGCCTCCACCCAACCAGTACCAAGTCACCAACATCTGCCCCTGGACTAGGGAATACCTCGTCACCGAGAAGTGCAATAGGGCAGATCTCCCAGCCAGCGTCCCGTCTGCAGTCCCCCTGGATGAGACAGATTCCATACTGCACGCCGCCCTCCAAAGTTCCCAGCTCCGTGCTTATCCCACCTCGCTGCTCAAAACCTCAACAGCGCCCCCTGTCGGAAGCCATGTTCCCCCTACCCTGGGCCTCGCTCACACCACCTGGGCAATTCTGACCCGTCCACAACCCTCCTACAGCCTGCGTATTCCAGGTTTTTACTCTAAACTCATTTTAAACTTCAATAGAAAAGGAATTGTATATTGCTACCTAGATCGCGGGCAGAAAATCCAAAATCCTCACCACAGATAGAGGGCAGCTCTACAAATACACATAATGAAAACCAAACCGTAGTCTTAAGGTCCAGGTTAAGTCTTTGCGAAAAGGAGCAACTAGAAAATATCAAAGAGATGTGCAAGGCATCTTAGCGCTAAACTGAACTGTTCTCAGAGATTTAGTCAGGGGACTGAAGGCAAGGGAGAGGTAGGTTTTCAATAGGCGGTTCAATCGTATTTAATGCCAAGTTCTCATTCTCCCTCAAGTCAGCTCCAGCTACTCCCTCTTAGCCCCGCCCTCCATCTGAATCCTAGTCTCCAGCCCCCTGGGGAAACCGTCCCCACCTATGCAAACAAAGCACATCAACTTCTTCCTTGGCGCACTTAATACAGAGACAGGAAATCAAATTTTCGGCTTTCAGCTTAAGGGAATCATCCAAAGGAGAAAAAGATCCTGGAGCTAAGGGACCTTCAAGTAAGCAAATTGTCCTCAACGGGGGCACCCTCTTTGAACCCTCTGGAATCACCCAAAGCTCGGAAGGATGCAGGAAAATGACCCTTTGGGCGAGAACACAGGGTAGCTCAAACCCCACGTAAGAGGAAAAACTAAAAATTTCAGTCTCAGAAAACAGCCCAAAACAGCCTACTGGGTTATTCCCCAAGAAGAAAGGTTTCTACAGAAACATCATCCACCTAAAAAGTTTCTTTTCCCTAAAGGCTCAAGTGCCCTCATCCACTAACTGCGGATGCTGGGACCTCAGGAACAGAGTTCCAGATGGTTTAATTTACTGTGGTCATTTCCCCGAGGGCAGAAGAAATGCCCGAGCTACATGCACACCTCTACCCCACCCCAGGTCAGCAATAGAACCCTCTTTTATGTGGGACCCCCATAAATAAAACAAATGGAGGTAAATACTGATCAGTTTGGAGGGTGCCTGAAAGCTACCTTGCCCAGCCACTCCCTCGCCCCCCCCCACAATGACCTGCCCGGGGCACCCCCAAAGATCCCTAAGGATCCACAGTGGTTGGAAAACCACTGCCATAAACCCTTAAAGATCTCCCTGAGAAAATGGCTTCCCCTCTGCCCGTGAGGAATGTGAGAGCACCGTTCACCCACCAGGGGGCAACATACCAGAGCCTTGGTTGGAGCCTAAGAGAATGGAGGAGGGCGTCTCCCTGGAGCCAGAAAGGTCGAGGGTCTAAAAATACAAAAAGAGAGAGATGGACACAAGGCACGGGGGCCAATGTAGCCCCCCAGGGAAGCCCAGGGATCCATGGGGGTGCTCATCACTGCCCCCAAGGCACCTTTGTGCCCTCTGCCTGGTATGCTCAGGCAGGGGAGGCCAGGTCAGCTGGGGTGGCCCTACACCTGTGCTCTGTCTCCCAGAATGAAGAGGGTGGAACACAGCAATGGGGTGCGCCCTTACTCAATTCTACAGCCTTAGCTTCTAGAACATTCACTGTGTCCTCAACTTCCTTCACTGACCTACCTACCGTCCAGATTTGTGCCACATCCAAAAAGGAGGTATATTACTTCAAAACTATGTCAGCTCGCTTTCATTTCACATTAACCTCTTACCAGGCTATATTGTCAATGAAATCAAAGGGTTTTGATGGCATAAGAACTTAATTCTTCTCCTAAGACACACTGAAATAAATACATGATGACTACGCATGTAAAACATGATCAATGTGCCACCGAAAATACCTTCTGCAGACGACCCATGTTGCATATGCCACACACTGGGAAGTAGGGGGTGCGACCTTTCCTGGCCAATATGGCGGCTACTAGCACCGTGTGACTGCTTGTATTTGAATTGATTAAATAAAATGTCAAAGTGCGAGAGTCTCTGCTCACACCAACCCTCCAAGGGCTCAACAGCCACGTGTGGCTAGTGGATACCATACTGGGCAGAGCAGACACAGAACACTCCCATCATCACAGAAGGTTCTACTGGACAACACTGTGATAAGCTTTGAGAGTCCCCAGAGAGCAGCTGCCGGATCACACGAATGTCAACTCGGGCTCCGCGTCGCTCTGTCCCTGCCCGCATGCCCACTGGTGAAAAGGAGGCCTGCTAAGCCTGTCACCCCCACCAGCAGTCTGACTGCCCCACCTCGAAGACAGACCTCCCACAACATGGGACTTGCAGAGGAGACAGGCATGGGGACAGGTCCTGAGATGCCACCTGGCCCTAAGTGTTGGTGTCACTGGCCAAAGGCGAGCAGCTTACTCACCGAGCCGCTGTCCTTGCTTTTCTCCGTGGAAGGCTCCTTGTCTTTCGAGGTGCTGGCGGCATCCGTAGGGGCCGCCTGTGTGCCAGAAGACTTGTTTAGTGTTTCTGTGTTTACCTCGGCGTCTGCTTCCTGCTGAGGAGCAGTAGCTGGGGGGGGAACGGAAGAGAGAAGCCACGTATAAGCTGAGGGCCACGGCTTCCAGAACCACAGGAAGCCGCGCACTGCACGAGGCCACACCATCGCTCGGAACAACTCTGACCCGACCGCTGTCTGTAACAGAGGCACCTCTGCTCAGCCCCACCCAGGAGAACAGGCCCAACGTGGCCAGGACTCCAAAGTTTTCCAGAAGCTGAAATTCCAGACATTGTGTGAAAATATGTGAATTTTTAGTAGTTCATTAATTCAAGTTTTGTTAAGTCATCCCAGACCCAAAAGCATGGCGGGAGAACAAATGAAGCCCATCAGCAGAGCCAGCCTGGAATCGGGGATCTAGAATTACTCATTTCACAATTTCTAATTTTAGATCGATTTTATCCCCGTAGACTTCCTTCCTTCCGAGGCAGGGCTGGGAAACCCATGTGAAAAACGACACGATGGCAAAGACAGAGTCTCTGGAGATGGTAGGAGCTTGGACAAACTGAAAAAGAGCATTTGAGAGGAATTTCAGAAGGACGGACATTATGATGCCACAAAGAAAGGAAAACTGAAGGACATTTTGGCCATCTTGTCATAACAACAACAACGGGTCATCAGACACATTACAGAACATAGGAGAATTTAACTCTACCGCTAGAAGAGATTTAAAGTAGCCATTAGGAAGACATCTCCCTAAAGGACAAAGGACCCAACAACGTACAGTTCAATACTGCCTTTTTAAAATAATGAAATACACAAGATCTCTCTAGAGCGAGAGCTGGCAAACCAGTGCTACCTGTTTTTGTGAATAAAGTTTTACTGGAACAAAGCCCCGCCCACCACTTACACCTTGTCTATGATGGTCCTCTCCCTAAATCAGTACAGTAGAGCAGCTTCAACAAATCGTAAAATATTTATCCTCTGAACCTTCACAGAAAGCATTTGCCAACTCCTGGCCGCTGGAGTGCTTCTCAATCGTGGTCACCTATCACCTTCCAATTTTTGCCAGTGTGAAAGACACACTGCCTTGTCGTATTATTCATGTATTTTTTTTTTAACGTTTTACTTATTTTTGAGAGAGAGACAGTGAGACAGAGAGTGAGCAGGGGAGCGGCAGAGAGAGGGAGACACAGAATCTGAAGCAGGCTCCAGGCTCCGAGCTGTCAGCACAGACACTGACGCAGGGCTCCATCCTGTGAACAGTGAGATCATGACCTGAGCTGATATTGGACACTTCACTGCCTGAGCCACCCAGGTGCCCCTATTTATGTAATTTTAAATTAAATTCTTCAAAATGGAAAGTAATAAACTAGTAAAGCTAATACTGTTTGTCAGAAATACAAACTAACTGTAAAAACTCTTGATTTCGGCTCAGGTCATGATCTTGGCTCAGGTCATG